ATTACAAGAAATAGTGTTATGAAATATTAGGTACAAAGGACCGCCCATGATCCCATAATTAGATACGTGACGATAAGGCGTGAGATGCTGCCTGATGTGTGAAGCCCTTAGCAATCACCTGATAATGGAAATTAAATGATGTAGGTACTTGACCTCTGGCGATAAGATAAGGCGCGTACACGTGAGCCAGAGAGAATGGAGGAAGTTAAGATAAGGAAAGGGTTAAAGGGATTGAGGAAACGGATATTGATAACGAGGAATAAAATATAAGGCATTTAAGATACAGATCCACTATGTGTTTCTTTCTTTCTGTCTTCTTCTGTCTGTCTGTCTGTCTCTGTCTGTCTGTCTGTCTGTCTGTCTGTCTGTCTCTCTCTCTCTCTCTCTCTCTCTCTCTCTCTCTCTCTCTCTCTCTCTCTCTTCTATCTATCTCTATCTATCTATCTATCTATCTATTTCTTTCTCTCTCTTTCTATATCTCTTTCTATATCTCTATCTATCTCTCTATCTATCTATCTCAATCTATCTATATATGTATGTGTGTGTGTGTGTGTGTGTGTGTGTGTGTGTGTGTGTGTGTGTGTGTGTGTGTGTGTGTGTGTGTGTGTGTGTGTGTGTGTGTGTGTGTGTGTGTGTGTGTGTGTAAAGAGCCAGCTTCACCAATTTTTATGAGCCCATAATTACAGTATTATTTCTAATCATTTAAGGATCTCCTAAAAGTAATATTCTAATGACCACATCATTATCTACCAAATTGGCATGCTTTAGTTGAACGATGATGTTAACAACAGAAGCAACAACGATAACAAAACTGTACGGAAGATATATAAGAAGATATATTAATAATGATGATGATGGCAGTGACAACAACAAAACAACGACAGCATCAACAACAACAATAATGAATAAAGGAGTCAATATCAAAGTTAATGATAATAACAAAAATAACAACTATAATAATGATGCTAAAAAGCTAAATAGCAATAACAATAACAACTATAATAACAATAATACTAAAAAAGCTAACAATACCAGTATCCAAACTAACAATAATAACAAAAACAACAACAACAACAACAACAAGACACCATCGCCGCCCACCCACCTGTCGCGTATGCTCGAGGTCCGCCTTGTTGGCCACGAGGGCGAGGATGGGTGGCCTCTCCTGCGCCCGGCCTGCTCTGCGGGCGGCGGCGACCCAGTCCTGGAGGGAGTCGAGGGTGTGGCTCACTGTCACGTCGTACACCATCATGATCGCGTGGGCGCCGTAGAGGTACTGCGGTGGGGTGGGGGGGATTGTATTAATGATGGTGGTGGTTGTTGTTGTGGAAGGAGTGGTAGCAGTTGTAGGTAATTGTGATAGTTATGGTGGTGGTGTAGTAGTAGTAGATGTAGTAATTGTAGTAGTGTGTCGTTCTTATTGTAGTTGTAGTTTTGGATTAGTATTTGTATTATTATTAGTAGTAGTAGTAGTAGTTGTCGTTATTGTAGTAGTAGTTTCAGTAGTAGTAGTAGTAGTAGTAGTAGAAGTAGTAATAGCAGTAGTAGTATTAGTAGTAGTAGTAGTAGTAGTTGTGTAGTGTGTAGTATAGTAGTAGTAGTAGTAGTAGTAGTAGCAGTAGTAGTTAGTTGTAGTAGAGTAGTAGTAGTAGTAGTTAGTAGAGTAGTAGTAATAGTAGTAGTAGTAGGTATTAGTAGTTGTAGTAGTGGTAGTATGATTTTCAATATCAATAACAATCAGAACTATATTATTTCATCGTTACAAGTCATTAGCAATTAACACAATATTCACATTCTAAATGTCCTTCCAACGAACGCACAATGCAACGCATCCTATCAGCACATCGACCTGAAGCGACATTATCGCGCAAAGACGAAGGATAATTACCTTGTCAGTCATCTTGCCAGCCAGCGACGAACCAGCGACATCCCATATTTGGACATTGACGTTCCTCTCACTCCCGAGTATGAGGCGTTTTAAGTAAAAGTCTACCCCCATCGACGCCTGGTGTGTCATAGAAAACGGGTATAAGTGAACAAAATATCAGCTTGCTTGGCTTTTTTAAAAAATTAAGGATTATCACTGAATAATTATCAAATAAAGATACTTATGAAAACGTTATAAATTGAATATATATATATATAATGATACAATCATAAAGGTAAAAAATCACATCACACAAATGAAAAAAAAAAAAATCACAGCTAACAGGACCGACATAACCTAACCTAAAACTGCCTAATCAGCTAATCAAATCAGACCACCTGACGCTACCCTCTTAAATACCCCCCCCCCCAAAAAAAAAAAAAAAAAAAATAAAAAACGTATCCAAAAGACAAAAAGTCAATCCATCGCCCCCCCCCCTAAAAAAAAAAAAAAAAAAAAAAACGTATCCAAAAGACAAAAGTCGATCCTTGATACCCTTCCTTGGCCTCCGTCATCGACTGAGGGAACACTGAAATCCTCTTTGCCTGATCCTCACTTTCCTCGCGTGATAGAGGGAAGCCTCGACGGTCTGGGGAACTTATAAGACACGAAGGGACAGAGTGCGAAGGAAGGGATGGACGACAAAAAATATATATATAAGCAGAGAGAGAGGGTGAAGGAGAGGGAGAAGAGAAAGAGAGAGAGGGAGGCTTATTGTGGAATCCTTTGGAGATTAAAGAAAAGGAGATAGATACAGGAACGAACCAAACGAAGAGAAAGGAAGGGAGAGACAAGAGGAGAGAAAATGAAGACAAGGACAATGATGGACCCAAGAAAAGGAGAAAAGAAAAAGAAACATAAAGAGGAAGAGACAGTGACGCAGAGATAACGTAAAAAAGAAGGGGTTGCAGTGGTATCAAGCAGGTCAGAATCCCTGCATAACTCCGCCACAACACGCAAGTTGCTCTTTCTCTCTCTCGCCTCTCCCCTTCTTCCCACTTTCCTTCTTTTCTTCTCTTCTTCCTTCAACCTGCTCTTCCATCCCTCTTCCCTTTCATTTCCCCTCTCTACTTTCCCTTATTCAAGCTTCCTCTTCTGGTCCCTTTCTTCCCTCTCCTCTTCTCCTATTCTTCTCTTTACCTATTTCTCTCCACCTTCCATCCTATTTTTCCTTCTCTATCACTCTCCCTTTACTCGACCTCTCCTCTCCCTGTTCCTTTCTCCATCCCTTCCACACATTCCATCCTCTTCCCCTTGCTTTTCCTTTGCCACTTAAGCTACAAATCCCCCTTCCTATTCCCATCGTCTTCCACTTAGGTCTCATCCCTTTTATTCTCCCTTTACCTAGCCCCTCATATCCATCCCTTACCTCCTCTACCCTTTCCCCACTATCCACTATTCTTTTCCCTTTCTTCACATCCCACTCTTCCCCTCCTCTTCCCTCCCATTCCACATTCCACTCCCCTTCCCTCCTATACCCTCTTTCTTCCCATTTCCTTTTTATCTCCTATTCCCTTTCCCTTCCCTCTCATTACCCTTTCCTTCCACATTTCCCTTCCCCATAACCCCTTTCCCCTCCTACCCCCTCCTCCCCCCTACCCCCCTTATCCCAGCCTCACCTGATAGCCCTTGTTGACCGTGTCTTGGGTGTACCTCATAGCCAGCGACGTCTTGCCAACCTGAGGAGGACCTACGAGGGCGACCTTGACCTGCCGCTCCACTGCCTCGTCCTCGGAGTCCGACATCCTGCGTGTGTGGTGGTGGTGGGGAATGGTGGAGGGAGGTGAGGGCGAGGGGTGTGGCTGGAATCACGTACGAGGTGCAGGGGAGCCACCGTCAGCTTCACGCGGTCGCCATGCTGGAATGAAAGGGTTAAGGAGTCACGATTTTGTGTGTTTTTTTCGGATATTCAGCTTACTTGTGTATGTGTGTGTGTGTATTGAATGCATGCATACATACAAACAAATATCTATCCATGATCTATCTATATATCTGTCTATCTACATATACATACATATGATATACATACATACATATATAATATATATATATATATATATGTGTGTGTGTGTGTGTGTGTGTGATTGTGTAATGAGTTGCCAATTAACATTCGAATATTTGTCAATTTGATGATAATCAACGGATTTTTTTTTAATCACTCATCTCCAAACATCGAAATAAAAATCAGTTCTTATATTCACTCCATTCTTGAAGCTGTATTCGCATAGGCGAAAAAAAATGTATCTGAACATACTGTATGTATATCATATACGCAAGTGAATCTATAAGTATATAACACATGCATACAACACGCACGCACTTACACAAGGACATCAGAAACAGAAAAATATGAATACATATACACAGGAGGCCACACCTGCACCCGTTCCGACGTGTTTCCCTTCCAGACTGCAATTTTCCGATATCAATTTCTCATGACCTTTAATAAACAGCCACATGTCATGCACAGCCCAGTTGCGTCGTTATGTCCTTCTGACGTGTGTGTTAGCTATCGAACTCTGATTTGATTTCCGCTATGTGATGTGTCTGTCTTTGCCTTTTGCACGTATATTCTCTCTGTCTGTTTTTCTCTCTTTATGCGTGTGTGTGTGTTTGTATGCGTTTTAGTGTGGTGTGTGTGTACACACACACACACATATGTACATATATATACATATATATACATCCATATATATATACAGATAGATATAGATATATATATATATATATATATATATATAGATATATATATATATATATATATATATATATATATATATATACATATATATATATATATATATATATATATATATATATATATATATATATATATATATATATATATATATATATATATATATATATATATATATATATATATATATATATATATATACATATATAATATATATATATATATATATATATATATATATATATATATCACGTTTTAAGTAAATCAAGACCAAATGTAACCCAGCAACCAACGATGAAATAAACACGAAATGAAATAATGCGGCATCTTTGGCCCGCATTGTTTACCTCCCCCCCCCCCCCCCTCGTGCCTCGC